AATTGCTTGTCGTCGATGGAAGTTAGGGGATGAGCGAGCCGGACCTTGAGGGGCTTGTGGGGCTGGATAGAGTAAGGGAATAGATTCACCGGATCCTCACTCTGTGTTGGGAGGAAGAAAGGAGAGCTAGGTCTGGGTCCTTAGCTAGAATCAAGCTACTAGAGACGACGACAATCGCTATCCTCGACGAGGTCACGATAGATCTGCTCGCGCGGTGAGGGGATGAGAGCCTCGTTCGTCTCCAATAGAGTTCGTTGGGAATTGGAGACCTACGCGGAAGGTAGCGAGGTTAGGGTCGAGGGGAGTGCGGAGCTTAACCCGGGATTGGGAGAGGACCGAGTAGTCCGCACCGAGATGGAATTTCTAGTGGAGGTTCGACGTCTGGCCTTGTGGAAAAGAAGGAGTTGGACCACGGTAGCTAGCTTCTCGGTCCTCATTCGAGACTCCAATGGGGTAAGCTCCTCAAGGGCTTGGAGAGAACCCTTGTTGGAAGTGGAAAGAAGATTTGAAGAGGACTCGAGGTATCTAGGGACCCCGTTAACATCAAGGACGCACCTTGTGGATACCCGATTTTCGGATAGGACGGGAGAGTACGAGGAGGCTTTGCTCCAAACTCTGCGAGAGGGCAGAGAGGCCGGTCGCGCCAGGTGCGAGGACTCGCTAGTCGAGGCCGCCGCTAGGTTGGCCGACGTGAGGTGAAACCCCAGATGATTCGATACGAAAGGGGGGACCCCGTTGGTACCATAGAAAGGGCTTGGACGTGGGGAGGAAGATATGGAGTGACTCTCCCGAGAATTAGAGGGGAAGGAGAGGTGACTACCGAGTTCTTCGAGATTTACGAGCAAGAGACAGTGGTCAGGTTCTCAGTGGCGTCCGAGGGGAACAGTTGCACAAGAAAGGCGGAAATATTTTTGTCCCCTGACGCCCGGCTAATCTTCGCAACTGAATTGGCGGAAGGGAAAGATCCTCTAGGCATCGCCAAAAAGGCCCTGGAACGAGTAAGGAGGGGGTGTCACCGGGGGCCCCGTGATTGATAGGGTAGAGTACCGAGGGAGGACGGAAGTTCCAAGGGCAGCCTACGGGAGAACTTGGACTATCCCTACCTGGGCCTATCGACTACTCTATGCTGACGACAAGACCGTGAGAAGAGTCCGATTGAGGGGTCAGGTGATAGAAAAATTCCCGCTGGGTGGAGGAGGAGGGCACGAGCTATTCACCCAGTGCTGGGAGTCGAGAGAAGATACGGATTTCGAGTGGTGGGCACGCGTAGGAGAGTTCATCAAACCCCTGTTCTCCGGACAGGCTGGTGAAGTGGACAGGGACTTGCGCAAGAAGGGACTAGGGACATCTCGGACCTGGAGATCGCCAATCTTGCGTTGGCCGTTAGCGAGGAGAAGAAATTACGGGACTCTTTGGTGGACGGTAACCAGTGAGGAATCAGAGGGAGAAAGTGATAGTAAGGAGTCTAGTGAGGAGAAGGAGGGCTCGGGAGAAGAAGAAGACTCGGAAGGCAGCCCGGACAATAGTGAGGGAGGCGATAGTGAGGAAGGCGACTAGAGATCACCAATAGGGTGTATGGAGAGTGAAGTGGAGGCTGGCCTCTCTCGTCCGCCGGAGACCGCCGAGAGAAGGGAGGTAGTGAAGAGCCCCGAGTTGGGGGCTAGGTTAAGTAGGGTAGTGGAAGAAATAACAGAGGGGACCGAATCGATGGATAGGGCCGAGAGGGGCCCAGAAATGACTCCAGGAGAAGGACAGGCCCCGGAGGAGCCAAGACCTGACACGGAAGTACGGGTACATAGGGATGTGGGGCAGCGGACACCTATAAGTGAAGGGGTCGCCGAGGCCTCGAGGGGCATTCCCGTAGAATCCCGGTGGGCGGACCTGGTAGACGCAGAAGCAAGGATGGTGGGAGCTCCCGATTTTCCTAGAGGCAGGCCGGGGTGTCGACCACCTAGGGGCGATAAAGAAGAAGGTCCGGATAGGGGAGACTTAAGAGAAGGAAGGGCGGCGGAAGCCGGTGGCAGGCCACGCAGATGGGTCGAAAGGGATCAAGAGATCCTTCCCGGGGAAAGACAAGTTCCGACGGAGCAAAGAGTTAGCACGGGGATGCGAATGCCGGTAAGAGAGGGGGCGATAGAGGCCCCAAGGGGCCTTCCTACTGAGTCTCGGTGGGCGGACTTGCCGGACGCAAGAATAGGAGAGGTTCTAGAATTCCCGAGGGATAGGATGGGGTACCGACCACCCAGGAGAGAAGAGGAAGGGGGATCGAGTAGAAGGGACCGTAGAGATGAGAGGCCAACGGAGGCTGGTAGTAGGCCACGGAGGTGGGCCGAAAGAGAATCGGATGCTGCATGGGCTTCCAGCGAGATAACGGGCAGGAGTCAGGGGGTGGAGACCTGGAGAAGCTTTAGGGGGCAGGACCACGCTCGGTGGGAGACGGATTGGCCGAATGAGCGAGGCCGCTACGGGGAAGACCCCTGGGGACCGTCAAGACCCCGGGCTCGGATCGAGGAACCGGATCCCTCTTGGTACAAACCGTACGACCCGGCAATCGATGGGCCAATGGAAGGTCCCCATTTTCGGTGGTACGACGACCGACGAGTTCCCTACTACAACGTCAACCCGGGTCTGGAGGCACTTTTCTTTGACGGACGAGATGTGAATGGTTCGTGGAGAAATGAGAAAGTTATGCTTACCGTAAAAGATTCTCCGAAAGAGAGTGGATCGACTATTTCATCCAGCATCCGGACCCCGAGTTAGACCCCGCAATTCGGGCTATCTACCCCGCAGATGGCCGGTGGAGGACTTTCAGGACGAGTCTATTGCGGACTTTTGCATGTGATGATCTGATCCCTACCGTGGAGGGTTTGCGACGAATTACAAGGGGGGAACGGGAGAGCTTGGTGGCCTTCACCCGTAGGTTCAAGCGCATATCCCAAGCCCTAGTGGATAGGGGGATGCTGTCTGAAGTGGATAGGTGCGTGATGTTCATGCTGCACCTACCCAAGGAAAAGAGGAAAGAGGTCCTTGAAAAGGCCCTGAGGGACTCTGCCAAGTTCGAGAAAGTCGCGGAGGTGGTTTTCACAGGGGGAGGAGTGGACGTGAGGGAGTACATGAAGGAGACCTTGGACATGGCACTTCGCAACATGCGAGGCACGAGGAACGATGGTCCAAGGGGGAGCGATAAACTGCCCCCGGGTCCACCTGTTCCCCGGTGGGGAGAACGGCCGACCGGATGGAGGAACGAATCGAGTGGCCAAGGAGGTTGGAGGACCGACTGGGAGATAGGGGGGAATCGTGGTTCTGATTGGGGGAGTTCCCACTGGCATTGGAAGGATGCTGGGGATGGAAGGTGGGGAGACGCCCCTCAAGCGAGGACTTCTGGGCCACGGCCTGAGGCTAGGGCGCTACCACCACCGGCACCGCCGCCACCGGCTCCACCTGCGCCTATAGCGGTGGCCACACAAGGGGGTCCGCGTCCCAACAACCCACAAGCTCAAAGCGGGTGTGTCTACTGCAATGAGGAGAATCATATCAAAAGGGACTGCCCTTATCTCACGGAGGCCTTAAGGTTGGGGGTAGTCAAGTTGAATGAGAACAAGGGGGTTGTGTAGGGAGATAGTGGGGAGACTGTCTCGTTCTATCCCTCGATGAAGGTAAATGTGGACAAGAGAGTAGCACTTCAGGAGGCAAGGCTGGGGAAGAAGCCTGAGATTGGGAGCACCTCCCAAACATCTCATATCCAAATGACGGAGTCGCCTGGGGGAGTGTCCATCAGGGAACCCCAGGTATCCAGCATCAAGTTCATAGATACCTAGCTTGAAGAAGAAAGGTCTTGCCTAAGGGTGAGAACACAAGTTGGGGCCGAGACGTCCGAGAGCCAAGCGAGCGTGACGGAAGGTACGGAAGTAAGGAGCGGCGACAATGACAAACCAATGGCCGATGCAAAAGCGGTGGAGGAAAAGAAGGAAGAGCCCACCTCACCTAAATCGCCTAAAAAGAGGAGGCCCAAAAAGTTCGAGATGAAGTGCACTCTGGATGAGATAGACACGATAGCCCCCCTTAGGAGGACCCTGATGCAGCCTATGCAGTGCACACTTTTGGAATACCTAGCTGCCAGCAAGAACGCCAGAGAAGAACTCCTAAGCATTACGAGGAAGGTGAGGGTCCCGCTCGCAGGAGGACCCACTGTGCCGGTGGAAGGTCCAGCCAAGAAAGAAGTGCAGACCTCCCGCATTACCATGGAGGAACTACCTGCCAACTTCTTCTCGGGAGAAGAGGCCAAGAAATTCTATGTGTTAGGTAGCGGCCAGCTCCAGGCAGTAGTAAGTGGGAAAAAGATGAGGGCTCTAGTAGACAATGGGTCCGAGTCTACGGTATGCATGGACTCCATCGCGCGGGAGCTGGGCTTGGAGTTAGATCGAGGGGTATCAATGTCGATGGTAGTGGCTGATAACAAGCTACAACCGGCAGAAGCGGTATGTCATTGCCCGTGATTGAGGTCGCTGGCGTAAAGGTCACGGTCCCAATCTTTTCGGTAAAAGAATGTTCCTCAGAGTTGATCCTCGGAAGGACCTGGCTGAGCCCGGTTCACGCTACTACGGTTGATTTACCGGATGGAAGTCAACACTTTCGATCCAAAGTCCGGATGAGATCCGTGTGGTCCTAAAGACCGTAGATGCGCAAGATGAGCGTACCGGACCAGCATTGCTAGACGCAAAGGGAGCCAGTCGAGGGTGTGCCGAGTCCGTCTGGAGGAGGTACCTTTAACGGATAGGGGACCCAAGGGAGACCAATTGGAGGTCGAGGATGTAGGGGCTAGAATTGTGATTAACGGTATGGGGTACGAAAAGGAGGACGAGGAGGAGGAATTCTGTGGATGTGTGAGCATGTTTTTTTTGGAGGAATCCCCCTAGCCGGCGGAGTCAAGAAACATAAAACCGTGGCGGAAAAAGTGAAACTTGTCGCGGTCAGCCGGGATAGAACGGGGGAAGCTACAATATCGGAAGAAGAGATAGCCGATATCATCCGGAAGAGGAAAGAGATGGAAGGGCAAAGGATAACGGCCGATAGATTGGCCAAAATGGATATAGGAGATGGGAACCTCACGGAGGAAGAGAAGGGGTTCATAGCGATGACCCTAAGGGGGTGCGATAAGGCCATTGCCTTTGATGACTCGGAGCGAGGGAGGTTCGACCCAAGGTACGCTAAGCCGGCACGGATCCACACGGTCCCGCACGTGCCTTGGAAGGATAGGCCTCAGTGGAAGTACGCTCAAAAGGAGAAGGAGGAGATAGTGACCTTCATCAAGGAAAAGATCAGGACGTTCGTCGCGGAACCTTGCGAGAGTGCCTACTCCAATAAGTGGTTCTTTTTTAGGAAGGGGGGTAGCAACAAACTGAGATGGATTCAAAACCTCCAGAGGACCAATGCGGTCACCATAAGAGACGTGGGGTCTATACCTGAGGCCGACTTGCTAGCAGAAGGATCGGCAGGTCGCTCAATATACTCTATTTGCGATCTCTTCTCAGGATATGACGAGATTCCCTTAGATTACCGGGACAGGCACATGACCGCCCTGCATACGCCTATAGGGCTGGTTCAAATGATGGTGGTACCGATGGGTTGGACGAATGGGGTAGCAGTGTTCCAAAGGGCCATGATCGCGGTCCTCAAGGAGTTCATACCGGAGAAGGTGGAGGTCTTCCTGGATGACTTCCCGATAAAAGGGCCGGTCGAACGGGATGAGACGGAAGTCTTCCCGGGGGTGAGGAAATTTGTGGCCGATCACATGAGTCATGTCAGAAACGTCCTTGAGAAGTTAGATGATGCCAACCTCACGGTAAGCGGAACTAAGAGTCGTTGGGGCGTGTCCTCCATCAAGATACTGGGGTTCATTTGCGATAAGGATGGGCGGAGGACCGATCCCGAGAAATTGGTAAAATTGATGACTTGGCCGTCACCCCTCAAATCCATAACAGAAGTCCGGCAGTTTCAAGGGGTTGTGGGCTACTGGAGAATCTTCATAAAAGCCTATGGTGAGACGGCGGAGCCCCTTCGAAGACTCCTTAGGAAATCGGAAGGATGGGTTTGGGGGGAAGAACAGGCCGCGGCCATGGAAGCCTTAAAGGGGGAGTTCCGCGAAGGCGGAGAGGTCCTAGGAGTTCCTTTCTTCGAAGATGAGGAGCATTGCCCCTTTATAGTTTCCACGGACGCGGGACCTCACTCGGTGGGAGGCCTCCTATCTCAAAAGGACGGAGAGGGGAAGGAGAGACCGTTGCAATTCGAGAGTAGGACCTTGAACCCCGCAGAGAGAAATTATAGCCAATTCAAAAAGGAGGTGTTAGGGGTCCTGCATTGCCTAAAGGCCTTCCGTCATTACCTATATGGGCGACGATTTCTCCTGCGAGTAAACCCAACTGCAGTAGCGGCGGTCCTTCAAAACGATTTCTCGCTGACCGATCCGACCATCGTCCGATGGATGATACACATTAGGCTTTACGACTATAGGGTCGAGAGGATATCCGGGTCCAAGAACCAGGTCGCGGACGGATTGTCCCGACTTCCCATTCGTGAGGAGGACCTACCTAGATTTAAGGAGGAGGAAGTGACAATGGCCAAAGAGGAGATAATGAAAGTTGTCACCAATAGGGCACAAATAGTGCGGAGCAGCCGAGGAAAAGAGGGGGGGCCAATGACTTTTCTCGCTAATCTCTATGATGGGAAGTACCGAGACATAGGACTGTACTTAGTCGGTAGGGAAGCAGGGACCGAAAGAATCCGGCAAAAAGCACTGGGGTATTGCCTGCGAGGGGGCCATCTCTTCAAGCGGGCCACCAAGTTTGCGATACCCATGAGGGTACTATGCGATCCAGAGGAAAGAAGGGCGGTCATAGAGGAACTCCACGACGGGTTCGTTAGGGGTCATAGGGGGGTGAAGGGTACTTTCGATAAGGTCCGTAGGCTTTATTGGTGGGATGGACAATACACGGAAGTGGAAAAGTACTGCTCTACGTGTGAAGCCTGCCAGAAGAGGGCGACGGTTCGGTACAAAGAACCCTTAGTCCCGTCGCTTCCCACGGTTCCGGGCGAGAAGGTCCATATAGATTTAGTGACCATGCCAAAGGGGGTCGGCGGACTTCGATATATAATCAACGCCCGGGATGACCTCACCGGGTTCGTAGAAGCGAAAGCCATTAAGAAGAAGACGGCGGAGGAAGTAAGCGATTTTCTCCTTGAGTACATCGCACGGTATGGGTGCGTCGGGAGGGTAGTCATGGATAGGGGCGCAGAGTTCGTGAGCCAAAAGGTCAAGGTATTATTGGAGAAGGCAGAGATCGGGGCGGGCTACACGACCGCTTATCACCCCCAAAGCAATGCACCGGTAGAAAGGGGCCACCAGACGCTTGTGGACGCTCTAGCAAAATGGTGCAAAGGCCGCGCAGAACAGTGGCTGAGGTATTTACGGTACGAGGTTTGTGTCGATAACATCACGGTCAAATCCAGCACAGGGTACCCCCCTTACACCCTTTGGTTCGGTAGGCATTGTCCCCTGCCCATCGAATTCCACGTCGACACTTGGACGAGTGTCTCATGGAAAACCAACATGACCCGGAATGAACTGTTGGAGGCACGGATCCAACAAATAGCTGAGAATTTGGATGTAACCAAGGTGGGAGAGAACATCGAGAGAAAGAGGGTGAAAGGAAAAGATAGGTGAGACAAAAATTTGTGGGTCCGAAAGGCGCCGATAGGGGTTAACGACCTACTGCTGATGTATGATTCGTCACTAGAAAAGACCTGGAGCCGAAAATTGGCAAACCGATGGATGGGACCGTATAAGGTCCTAAAGAGATTGGATTGGGGGGCTTACATGCTCGCGGAATTAGATGGGAGTAGGCTACGGGATCCTGTCGCAGGGGCTCGTCTCAAAATCTTCCGATCACGAGAGACCCTTGGGGAAGAGCCGGGGCGGAAAGGAAAAGAAACTATTGACACAGAGGTGAGCGTAACCCATGAAAAAGGGGGGACCTCCAAACAAGGATCCTCTTCTCGACCCCCAAAGAAAGGGTATAAGGTTCGAAAAACGGCCCTACCAAAGACCCCTACGAAGAAGAAACGATCGAGGGAGGATGACGGAGATACTGACCGAATGAGGAAACGCAGGATGAACGAAAGAAGGAATGCGTCAAGAAAGGCCATGAGACTCAAACGTGAGAGAAAGGAGAGGAAACGGAAGAGAGAGAGGCGCGAGAAGAGGATGAGGAGATGGAGACGGGCGTAAAAAGGGGGAGGAGAATAGAATGCCATAGTTAGAAAAACGTGGTCCAGGAAAAGTGATGTGTCGAAGGGAAATTTGTACCATAATATACCATAGTTAGACAAACGGGTGTCGTGAGGAGCAATGAGCCGTAATCCCAAGTAGGTATTGTACCATAGACCGGTGTCATAGCGTAGGAATGTGCCGGGATCATGGATGGCGCGGTGACAAGACGAAGGGGGTAAGTCTGGTAAAAAGAAAAAAGACAACGTAATCTTACCAAGAAAATGGGGTGAAACGGGAGGAAAATTTCATGGGTAAACATTTGGCGAGGGGCGAGGGTTAGAAAGGAAGGGGTCGTGAAAGAGACTCGCCGGGGATGGCGAGAAATGGGGTGTGGGCTGGTTGTCGGGCGGCTGCCTACCAGCTGAAGGCTTTTTTCTTTAAAAAAAAGGAACGATTTTCCACCTTTTTTGTTGTTCTTGCGTGGTTTTGATGTATGCATGCATGTGGCCGTGGTGGTTAAGGATGTCCTTGGGCGTTCGGGTCTTCATACTAACCCTTCGGTTGGCTGCAGTGGCTGTCCGAACCTTGGTCGCGAGCACGAGGGCGCGAATCCCAAAAATCGGGTTTTCAGGGCCAAAACCGGAGAACCAGGGGATGGTGGCCAGCCTGGGGACGGGCTATCAAGAATTCGGAAGGAGGAGACCTAAGGGAGGCAGGGGTGGACTACAATGGGCGGCATGTAATACTATGGCCGGGGACGACGAAGGCTGGTTACGCGCGGCCGGACGACCGCGGTTAAAGGAAGGAGGTGCCGAGCGGGACTGTTTGAGGTGAGCTAAAGAAGCACCGAGGAGAGGCGAGCTAGCCAGCGGCGAAGAACTGAGCCTAAGGGGGGGGGAACTGACTCGCCCGTCGGCTGACCCCAGAGGGGCCGAGGAAAGATCGCAAGCAGACTCGAGTGGATTCAGAGTTTCGATGGCGGATCGAGAGAGCAGGGGTTGAAGGCAGACGGACCCGGAAATACTCGAAAATGAGAGAACCGAGGAAAGAACAAGTCAACTGGTAAAAACCCAGGTTTTGACTTTGAGCGACAATCGGGCCTGACGGGTCGTGCGCGACACAACTTAACGCAGAACAGCGGAACATACGGGGTCCAGAGAAATTCCTCGCGAGCTTGGCTCAAGTGACCGCGACAAAAGGGAAGAGTTTCGTGGGACCAGATCTGTCTGTGGATGGGGGGGGAACAACTTGGTGAATTCCGGGGCGATGGCGACTCCTTGGAAAAAGGGGAGGCCTCGGCAAAAAGGAGTTGTGACAGCGACCATACGGGACCCACCATATGACAACTTTGAGAAGAAGAACCGACGCGAGGGCCGGACGGCCATGCTAGATGGGCTACCAAGACCGATCTGGGCCCCGCTTTACAAAGAGGGGGCTACCTGCAATTGGCTAGTGAACAGACGAGCAGCGCCGAAGTGAGTGTGAGCGAGAAGAAGAGGTATGGGGCAAGCCGAGAGCAAAGGCCTGATTGGTCCGGAAAAATGAGAAGGAGGATCGACAGGAAAAGGGGGCAAGTGAAAATCTCCTTCAAAAGAGTTTTTCGTTTACAGTTGAGATCCGGTGCGCGCGCGCTAAAACAAGAAAGGCAGAACGAGCTGAGGAAAGAGGCGGGAAGAGAGGTTGGAATTGCAGGGGCGGGAATTCACGAAGGCACTCGATACCAATCCTGGGTGCAAAGAAGGGAAAGGGGCCATTGGAGGAGAAGGGGCGTGCCTCCCGCAAAAAGAAAAGGCGGATACAGATCTCCTCCAAAAAGAATTTCCGTTTACAGTTGGGATCCGATGCGCGCGCGCTAAAACAAGAAGGGCAGAACGAGCTGAGGAAGGAGGCAGGAAGAAAGGTAGGGGCAGGAATTCGCGAAAGCACTCGACACCAATCTGGGTGGCAGTAAAGGGGAAGATGCCATTGGAGGAGAAGGGGGCGAGGGTTGATAGTGAGAGATTGAGCGGGGGCAGAGAGAAGAAGAATACGAGGGAGGCGGGAAATGAAAAATTCGACCAAAAATTTCGAACTTGGCTCGGCCAGTGGAAGAGGCGAAAGGAAGAGAGAGAAAAAAAAAACAAAAAACAAAAAAAAGTATAAAAGGGAGGGCAATAGAGAAGGAGGGGGAGAGCTCGGACGCGCACGGAAGGGGAGAATGCCCGGCAGGCCAAACTGGCTATAGAGGATTGAGAGTACGGGGGCGCGAGAGAGAGAACACACGCACGAGCGCACTCGCTTCCAACAACGGGCTGCGCGCACGGACGCATCAGCTGGCTGATGCAGGAGAGACGGGAGTGTTCGCCAGGATCTCGACGATTCTCTACAGCGCACAAAAGCAGGAGAGAGAGAGAGAGAGAGAGAGAGAGAGAGAGAGAGAGAGAGAGAGAGAGAGAGAGAGAGAGAGAGAGAGAGAGAGAGAGAGAGAGA